GGAGGTTGCGGTAAGCCGAGATTGCGCCATTGCACTCCAGCCTGGGTAACAAGAGCAAAACTCCGTCTCGAAAAATAAATAAATAAATAAATAAAGATGGAATCTCACTCTGTCACCCAGGGTGGAGTGCAGTGGCACGATCTCAGCTTATTGCAACCTCCACCTCCCAGGTTGAAGCAATTCTCTTGCCTCAGCCTCCTGAGTAGCTGCGATTACAGGTGTGCACCACCACACCCAGCTAATTTCCGTATTTTTAGTAGAGACAGGGTTTCACCATGTGAGTCAGGTTGGTCTCGAACTTCTGACCTCAGGTGATCCACTGCCCTGGGCCTCCCAAAGTGGGAATAAAACTTTTTAATGCTCATTTGTTTATATATATGTATGTATTTTTATGTCTGCCTTTGAGCTACAACAGCACAGGTGAGTAGTTCTGTAAAAGCTAAAATATTATTTTGCCTTTTACAGAAAAAGTTTGTGGTTGGGTACAGTGGCTCACCCCTGTAACTCCAATACTTTAGGAGGTCAAGGTGGGAAGACTGCTTGAGCCCAGGAGTTAGGGACCAGCCTGGACAACATGATGAGACCCCATCTCTAAAAATAAAAATAAAAAAGCTTGTTGGCTCCTGGGCTGGACCAGTGGCTCCCCTTCTACTGATGAGAAATTTGAGGCACAGAGAAAATGACTGGCCCGAGATGACACAGCAAGTCAATCACAGAAATAACTCTGGCTCCCTTTTAGTGCTCTTTTCACTTCATTACCATATAAAAGCGGAAAACAAACGTTTCTCAGCTTCTCATGACAATGACTACGTGGTCCTTTTATCTACCTCATCTCTGCTAATTCTCTTCCTAGTCTAACCTAGGTTCTAGTATGGGCAGCTGCATCTGTAACCTCGAGAGGGCAGCACTAGTTAAGATGACACCAAAAAACAATCTTATCTGTGACCCAAAAAGTAATATGTCCTGTCCTAAGGAAAAAAAGGAAAATGCATTAGAAAGGGTCTCAACTGCTTCTGATGATATATATGCATTCATACCAGCGTAAATGTAAGAGGTTTTCCTTTTTTTAAAAAAACTGCCACTGGGCATGGTGGCTCACACCTGTAATTCCAGCACTTTGGGAGGCCAAGGTGGGTAGATCATGAAGTCAGGAGTTTGAGACCAGCCTGACCAACATGGTAAAACCCTGTCTGTATTAAACACACACACACAAAAATTAGCCAGGTGTGGTGGCGTGCCTGCAATCCCATCTACTCAAGAGGCTGAGGCAGGAGAATCGCTTGAACCCAAGGCGGAAGTTGCAGTGAGCCAAGATCGCTCCATTGCACTCCAGCCTGGGCGACAGAGTGAGACTCTGTCTCAAAAAAAAAAAAAAAAAATTGCCAAAGGTAAATTCAAGCACAAAAAATCCCCACGTGCAGCTAGAGTGGAAAGCACAGAGGCCCTATCAGCAAAGGCAAGACAGGCATTTGAGAGAAGTACCCAGAGACACTTTTTTTTTTTTTGAGACAGAGTCTGGCTCTGTCAGTAGGCTGGAGTGCAGTGGTGCGATCTGGGCTCTCTGCAACCAACCTCCATCTTCTGAGTTCAAGCGATTCCCCTGCCTCAGCCTCCCAAGTAGCCAGGACTACAGGTGTGTACCACCACGCCTGGCTAATTTTTATTTTAGTAGAGATAGGGTTTCACTATGTTGGCCAGGATGGTCTCAATCTCCTGACCTCATGATCTGCCCACCTCGGCCTCCCAAAGTGCTGGGATTACAGGTATGAGCCACTGTGCTCGGCCCCTAGAGACACCTTAAAGTGTTTTCTGGGAAAAAAAAAAAAAAAAAAAAAAAAGTGTTTTCTAAGCACTTGGAGGAATATGAAGAGAGAGAAAATTATATCTTAGAGAGCCCAAGAGACAGTTTTAAGTAGGCGAGTGGAGCTAGACTCGTGTACCAGATTTGTCCTTGTCTGACTAAAGAAGAGGTTCCATCTTTTTATTCCAGGATGTCCAATCATAAAATGGGGCTAGTAGGGCTTGCAGCCAATGAGGTATTTATGAAGTACAACTAATGTATGCAAAGGGCTTTGGGATCCTTCAGATTAACAAGTGCCCTGTGCAAGGTGCAAGATGGACTGGTGTTACTGAGAGGACAGATATATTTTGTGGGTGTCACCACTGTTGTTTAGCGAGGCAGTGGGGAAAAAAGGAGGTTATGTGGCACAATCTTTCAACGTGACCCAGAACTGGTCCATAGGAAACTTGTACAGACTGTCACATTAGATGGTGGAAAGAAACATCACAGAAAATGCATAAATCCCCAGAGGCAGAATGGTTAGCTTTATGATGCAGTCATGCCTAGAACAATCTGGTGAGGCTATTTAGTAAAACACATTTGTTACTTCTCGCTTTACAGGAAAGAGGACCAAGTCACATTACTCAGTAAATATTTTTCCTTGGACTGAACTTGGCTGCTAAGATTTTCTGAGAACTGAGCATTTTTTTTTCTTAATTTCTTTTTAAAATTTAATTTTTTTTTTTCTTTAAGACAGGGTTTCACCATGTTGCTCAAGCTGGTCTTGAACTCCCAACCTCAGGTGATCCGCCTGCCTTGGCCTCCAAAGTGCTTGGACCACACCCGGCCTAAAATTTAATATTTAAAAAAAAACATTTGTCATCCTTTCGCAAGGGCCATGCTAATCTCTGTATCGTTCAAATTTTAGTATATGTGCTGCCGAAGCAAGCACTGAGAACTGAGCATTTTTTCTAAATAATCTTCAAAGGCCTGGTGCTGGGTTAATAGCAGGAACTGGCCGGGTGTGGTGGCTCATGCCTGTAATCCAAGCACTTTGGAGGCCAAGTGGGGCGGATCACCTGAGGTCAGTTCGAGACTAGCCTGGCCAACATGGTGAAACCCTGCCTCTACTAAAAATACAGAAATTAGCCAGGTGTGGTGGAAAGCAACTGTAAACCCAGCTACTCAGGAGGCTGAGGCCGGAAAATCGCTTGAACCCAGGAGGCGGAGGTGGAAGTTGCAGTGAGCCGAGATCATACCATTGCACTCCAGCCTGGGGGACAAGAAGTCTTTGTCTCAAAAAA